TATTGTCCTATAAACCTCTTTTCACTTGGACAACGTTTTTGGGATCGACTGTATATACATGTATATATAATTATTTATCTATGTGTTTTTTTTTTGCTTTTTTTTTGCCTATAAATAGTTAGCATTGTAAGAGCCAAAGTGTGTTTGGATTATGCTAATAAACTGTTGTTACTATTACTTTTATTATTAATAGTAATGATAACAACAGGTTATTAGTATATTATTAGCATATTATTATTATTTGTTTTCTCAAGGTTGCATGCGCATCCAACTTGACAGGCCACAAAACTGAAAAACGCAAATTCAGTGAAATTGTGAAGCCAGTTTTATATTTAAAGAGAAGAATAATCAATTTCATTAATGCTTATTGGGAAAAATTCATAGTAATGCATGATAATACTCCTGTTCTGGCATCGTGGCCCGTCAAGTTCCTTAAATTTGACAACCTTGAGAAAAGGGTCTTTTGCCACATGCAAAGGAATTTTATTGTTYTGCCATCTAACACAAGCAGCCCAAGCTGTATTATGGGCCTTTATTCATGAAAAGTAATAAAGAAAGGATCAACTCTGAAGAAAACTGATTTCCAGATGAAATTTAAATTATAAAAAATAGATTTTGATGAGATTGTGTTTGTCACTTTTTCCAGGAAGTAGGAACAGAAGTGTTTTACCACTTTTTCTTACCGGAGCTGCAACAGAATGGATATCATGGGATTTTTAGTGCAAAGTCAAGAGCAAGAACAATGTCTGAAGATGAAAGAAAACATGTAGATGGATGTGCTATATTCTTTAGAACGTCTAAGTAAGATAATTTTATGTTACACTGTACAGTACTTTTTAAACATGGTTTACATGACAGGGACTGCAGAGCTATAGTACTGTAGCGGGGCTGGGAACTATACCCCACAAAACACTGGAAATCGCATTTCCAAGGATCTCAATTTCAAATATTTTTGCAGCCATAATGAAAATGAAAGAGCAAATATTCACACATGAAATGCAAAGTGCTTGCAAGAAGATATCTGAGCGCAGTAGTGCTTGTTCATGTCGAAAATTTTTTTTTATGTTTTGCATTTGCCTTTACATTCAAAATTTTAAAACCCAAACACAAAACATATACTTTTGTTGTTGTGTTGTTATGTGTGACATCTTATACTCTTGTGTGACCATTCCATGGTGTAGTTGTGTTGTTGTGTGACATGTTTTCGTGTATTCTCATGTGACTATTCCATGGTGTGATTATAGGTTTTCCTTGGTGAAAGAATATCTGACGGAGTTTAACCAGCTTGCGATGGCCAATGCCCAAGGATCTGATGATATGTTAAACAGAGTGATGACAAAAGATAATATAGGTATTGCGGCATTGCTGGAGCTTAAAGAGTCAGCTTATACRGGTTATGACGGAGGTCAGCAGATCCTGGTATCCAATGCACACATCCACTGGGATCCTGAATTCCGAGATGTGAAGTTGATTCAGACCGTTATGTTGATGAATGAATTAACAAACATCTTGAAGGAAGCTGTTCCTGGATATCACCCACATGGAGGTAAAGAAACATTGGTATTATCTGTATTTAGTCTAAACCTACTCTGATTGGCTGAGCTATAGCGGTTTATTAGTGATAGACCACTAGTAGCAAAAAGTGTTGGGTTTTGAAAACCAAAACAATGCAAAAAAATAAATTATTTCATCCATCTAAACCCACCAATGGCTGGCTATTCACCGATCACAATGGTTGATTAGTAGGTTTATGAATAGACCCTTTGCAGCACTTTGGAATGCTGCTCAATCTGGGGGACAAAACAATAGCTTCCAATTCTCAGGAGTTTGGAATTCTTTTGTTTTGATCCCCAGATCGAGTTGCTTTGACTTCACATGCAAGGTAGCCTGCGTCACATTTAGAATTTTCTTCGTAAATACATATTACAAAGAAAATTCCGGATGTGACGCAGGCTAATGCAAGAGGTCTATACTAAAAAGTTAGACCTCTGGTGTGCATGGTGTATGAGTCAATAGCCCATTCAGCCCATTCAAAAAATGATGTAGTTGACTGACCCCAAGCCTGTGTGACTCAATAAGAAAGTAATTTGAATAGAAATCACAAAACATATGCCACATAAGCATTAAAGTGCTTATCACCCTTCTGACAAAATTCACAGTATTGATTCTACATGGGGTAAGATGTGGAAAAGCCCGAAAAAATTTCATAGTTTGAGTGCGGCTTCTTGAAGTCATAAAGATTTTTCCATGCTATAAGCTAATGCTGTGACGTATGAGGAGTAATCATTTAATATACAAAACCATACTGGCACAGATAAATTAAATTTGAAATACGTCATTGTTTTGCCCATTGCTCATATAGAAATTATTGCAAGTTATTTTTCACATAGAAGCCGGTGTTTCGAATTACAAGGAACAACAAATAACCATAAATGCCTCCTCATACGTCACCGCATTAGCATATGGCATGGAAAAACCTTCATAACTACAAGAAGCTGCAATCAAACTATAAATTTTTTTCAGGTTATTCAACATCTTACCCCATGTAGAATCAATACTGTAAATATTGTCAGAAGGGTGATAGGCACTTTAATGGTATATGATAATTATATTGGTTATGTCCATGGTCTATTTTAGGCAAGAATGGTACAACAATATCAAGGCCCATCCCAGTCGTGTTATGTGGTGACTTCAACTCACTCCCAGACAGCGGCGTAATCGAGTTCCTGGACCATGGAAGACTGCCCATAGACCACTCAGATTTCCTGGAAATGCAGTACGAAGGGTTTTTGTCAAGGTTAAGTAATGGCAACAGTAAGAATGGTGAGAAGTGTGCGGAGCTTGCACATGGTCTAAAGTTAAAGAAGACATATGATGGTGAACATCRAATGCCTTACACTAATCTAACATATGATTTTAAAGGGGTTATTGATTATGTATATTACACTAGCGACACCCTTTCACCTTTAGGGTTACTCCTATCAGTAGATCCAGAGTATATCAAGGCAAATAAGGTATTAGGTTGGCCACACCCGCACTTTCCCTCCGACCATCAATCTTTATTAGTGGAGTTTGAAGTATTTAGCACAGTTCCAAGGTTTGGGTTTTTGCAAAATAGTAACAGCCTCCCAAGGTAGCCATATATATGTCTGTGGCTGCACAGAAGAAACTGTAAATTTGTAATTATAGTGTGTAAAATAGGCAACTTCAGCCCAAATTTTAAGAAGTCTCCAACATTCGACCCTCAACTATTTTGATCTTGCACGCAAATAGCCAGAGGGGTTTGTCCATCTCATTTTACTAACCTACGATCGTTATTACCATTATTATTAGTCCTTTGCATGTGTCAGGTTTTGCCTTGGTCCTATAAGTCTGGCTCCCTGCATGCATAAGTCTTATCTTATTCTCCATAGGATTGAAGTTGGGGTTCCTGCTATCTACCTTCCCCCCTGTAGGTTCAATGACAGTTTGGGGGGTTTGAGGTTGGTTTGTGGAGAAATAGATATGACCCCTGCATGCAAGATTTAAGTCCAGCCAAAGGTTGTAGAAAATGTAGGGAAATTTATAGTCAAATTTGCATCTTTTTTAAGCTTTTCAGAATGGCTTTTCGTCGTGTTTCTACCATTATTAGTATTTTTCTGTCTTTACAAATTTTGTAATTTTTTTTTCTAAATAAGTGTGAAAATTAAGGTTTGACAAATTCGTAATTTTAATGTTTTTTTTTTATCCAATAGAACTGGATAAAACAATAGTGGCATTTTCCATTAATGTGTTTGTTTGCATTTTAGATATATTAGCATCAGTCAGTCTTAATGCTTATATGAAAACTGGATCCACAAATCAAAACCATTTTTTTCTGTTATCATTTCTTCTGAAAATGTGTAGAAGAAGCTGATAAAAAGAAGACGGAAATACATTTTTATCATGGTTCAAAATGCAAAAAGATATTTTCACTTTTATTGAAATTGTTCAACCATTTATTGACGGCTTGAAATGTTGCRCCCTTTAACCAGAAAACTCCACTCTTTATCCTTCCCCATGCCAATCCTATCGACACCTTACACCTTTGGTCTTATTGACTAATTCCTTGTTTCAAAATTTCCAGTTGTTACTGTGGTTTCCAATATTCTATGAACACCGATGTTTCAACGGCTTGTTGTGAATTTTTTTTTTTTTTTACTAACCCCAGTCAAACACATAGAAAGTACTGATTATTTTTGATTGATGGTTGTAAAAAAACGAATTTCATCGTGCATCTTGCAAATACCGAGTTTGCAGAATTTCGAAAACTGCAGTAAATTTGGCATTTGGGTTTTGATTTGATGGAGCAGTTGTTTCTAGCACGAAGCACGACTGGTGCTAATGATTCAATAATATGTAAACAGAGCACAGCATGGAATGCATTATTTTKCTTGAGCACCAGATGTGTATTAATGAAACACACTTTTCCTAACCTGTACACAATATGCAATCTAGTTGAATCTGTAGTGTTWTTTGCTGTGAGTTCTAGGAAAATCTCTTAATGTTTTTGTAGTTGTAGTATGGCTTCTTCATGGGGATTCATTAAGCGTATTGTARGGGGKMAGTACTGTCTTRTACTYTAAAGCTCAACTTCAYCCTTTTCATGTATCTGGAAGGAAGTAGGATGGGAGGCTTGGTATAGAACTAAATACAAAGCCAGAAGTTTAGGTGTGAAAAGGTAGAGCAAAGGAACTGAATGACTTTACAGAAATGCTTGCTGCTTTTATGTCATGAACAAACGCAGAATTGCAGTTTGAATAAGTAATATTATTTTTGGTGAGAAGATCAGAAACAAAGCCAGAAGCTTGATGTGCAAATGAAGAGCGAAGGAACTTTGCTGCTTTCATGTCATGCACAAACAATTTCAGTTTGAATTAAGTTATGTTATTTTTGGTAAGATCAGAAGCATAGCCAGAAGCTTGATGTGCAAATGTAGAGCAAAGGAACTACGTGACTATACAGTAATACTTGCTGCTGTAATGTCATTTACAAAACTCATAATAAATTATTTCAGTTTGAATAAGTTATATTTTAGGTAAGAAGATCTGGCCTTGATTGTGATTTTACCTGTCCTATCCTTTTGCCTTTCTTCCAGTACATGAAATAGGGTTTACACGTATACTCCTTTCATGTATACTTTGATAAACCTCTTGTTATGGTTATCAATACTCGGTGATGATGAATACAAATCGTTGATTGACAAAATCAAGTTTGATTGGTGACGTGATGTAAGTGATAAGATAGAAGTAGTTCAGTACGCCATTATATTATGCACTATACTTGATWGCTTGCTCTTGGGGGGTATATAACAAAGGTCGGGGCACGGAAGGGGTGCAGGGTTGACAGTAACTTTTGGTTTTATTTTCCGATGTCAAAAAAGAAACGTCCTATTTTCTTCTGCAGCTTTTTAAAAAAACCTTCCTGGACCCATCCCTGCATGCCAGATTAAATTATCATTAGCTTGGTTTCAATTTTAATTCCTGCCAAATAGCCCACTCCCAATATATTATTCGCTTGTTCACACACAAAGGTTCATTACGAGGCAACGTGCCATATTAAATTTTTTTTTTTCTGATATGAATCACTCAGCATTATGTACAAAGCCTCACACTGAAACCTTTGTGCAAGACAAGCGAGGCATATCTCGAAGTGAGCTTTTGTTTTATTTTATTTGTTTCTACATGTAGATTGGCCTCGTAAACCTATATTTTGATTCAGACTAATTCAATTTTAATTCAATACTAACATTATAWGACACCTTGAAGCATTCTCAGCCATCACACCAAATTGATAAATGTATGATACAGAGCATAAGTAACTTGAGAAACATACAAAGAGTAAGATGGATAGTGAAATGGGAGAATTCGGAAAAAAAKATTATCAAAAACTAGACTAACCAAAGGAMAACAGTTATTTATGGCTKTGTCCCTCTGCAAATCTCCCAGCTCAACTGGAAAGATCTACCAACACGTTAGTAAACAGCACACTACAGTGCATACCATACATCCGTGAAAAACTTTGTAAGAAAATCCACACTCAAATTGTTACGTTCAAAAGATCTCGTAGACCTACAAAACTTTGCACTAATTCGTACGATTTTGTTAGTTAACTTTTCACGGATATATGGTATGCTCTCTAAGGCAAACACTAAACAAATTCAACAGCAAATTCTATTTAAACTAAAATGACCTCGTGAGATAGATATAATTTCAAAAACCCTTTCCAAATGAGGCCAATTTTTCATGTTTACTAATGGTGTTGTTGGCAGCCATGTTGGATGGCAAATGAAAAATGAAAAAACCTATCATCCAACATGGCAACCACGAACTCGAACGATGTCAAACCTGCAAAGAGCCAAGAGAACTCGAAACTGGAGTGTTGAATTAGGGTTTTACAAGTGAATTGATGTATGGAAGATTGTGGATTATGCAGTGCACTGTCATCATACTCTACACCACTTCCTTTCTAACTTAGTATCAATGACAACAATTTGTATTTGCTGCAACTAGTTTRTGATGGTCACCCTGTGCTCTTTTTTGRACTATTTATTCTGTACTGTTGTATTTTGAATTAACGATTACRACCCATGACATACTTCATCTGTATAATAATAATAAACTTCAGCATCATCATTACCTTGATTTTTTGAACTGTATTCAGAATGAATGGRGTGGGGGGGAAGGAGAACCCACTGGACGGTATAAACCATGGGAGATCGAGCTAGAGCTAACACCACTTCCAGCCCCCATATAAAATTTAAAACTCGAGGTAACACGAGCGTGACCAGTGATAAGAACACTTTAGCTTCCCCCTGGTGCAATTACCCTATCTCTCAAAACCTATGCTCCTCAGCCCCTCTCCTGTCCTGTCCTCTCCTCTCAATCCGATTATATATCTCTTTAAAATTTCACGGGAAAACGCCTTATCGTCAAGGCGGTCTAGACCACACACCCCTCGCTTTTAAGGTCTTAAGAACGCGATGCTTTTTTTTTGCCATTCACTACCAGGAAAAAAATAAAAACTTCAGCAATTGAAATCGAAAACTACTGCTAAACACGATATGGCMCAAAAGGCATCTCTTCCTCTTAATTTCGTTGAAACTTCATACGGATCTTATGATCTCCTGCATCGGTAGCCTGCGTAGCGGCTCTTGGGGGGTTGGGGAGAGAGGGAAGGGGGAATGGGGAGAGGAGGGGAAGGGGAGAAGAGGAAAGGAAGAGCTCTCTAAGAACGAAACTGCCAATAGACCCATTTACTTTGGGCGTAATGTTTTTCCATTTCAGATCACGTGTCATTCCCTACGGTATTATTTCTTTGTCTAAGAGTTGTTCTGCATGAGAAGACACATGAATATGGATTCCTGCACTTAAACAAAGAATCCTATCCTCAAGGGAATGAACGTGATCTGAAATGAGAATACATGGCATACGAGTTAAAAGTATATTTACGTTGGACAATAACTTTCATATACAACCCCAAAGAAATTGATTCTGGAGATATCTACAACTTTTTATTGTTATTTAATTAATTTAAGTAAATTTAATTTACATCTTTAATGACGCATTTCGCTACGCCTCAATGCGTTTACAATGTGTATCACAAATAAACTATAATTAAGACGTAAGAATTATAATATATATATAGATAACTAGACTAAAATGTTATAATAATGATAATCTAAAACAAATTAATTAATATATAGCTAATATAAAAGTATGGTTAAAACAATATAGGGTTAAAATTAATAWRAYASMATAATTTGTATTTCATAAGGACGCAATAGATCAGTCAAAAGCTTCTTTGAAAAGATATGTTTTAACTAAAGATTTAAACTGTTTAACAGTCTCAGCATTTTTTATTATTTCTGGTAGGTTATTCCAGAGCTTAGGCGCAGCGATGAGAATGCTCTATCGCCATAAGTAGATGTAAATGATTTAGGAACTATCAATAGCTTCTTAGAAGCAGAGCGTAAAGCGCGCTTAGGTGTATAAGATTCTAATAAACTGTTTAAATATGTTGGTGCATAATTACATCGGTGACAGTAACATAACTAAATATAGTGCAAATTACACTGGAAACCCCCCGGGGGGGGAGGGAGGGACTCCGGGAAAAAAGTACCGGGGATGCTCGTCGTATCTCTTAGGGGTAAAAATTCGCGATTTGGTATCTTTTAGGGTGTTAAATGCAAATTTTTGAAAACCAGCATTTTCTGGTATCTCTTAGAGTGTCGGAAAAGGAGAGAAGCGTGCATCGGTATGGCTTATCCTAGGAGTTTTTAATTTGATAATATTTGTTGTGTTATCTCTTAGGGGTTAAAAATCATTAAGCAACGCCCTTTTATAAAGACTTCCGATATCTTTTAGAGGTCTTTTTGAACATTTCGGTCCTTTTTTTCATGAGCTCCAACCCCCCCACGGGCCGGAAACTGAGACGCTGACTTGCCGTGATACAGAGTATTTTAGTATTTTAAACTGAAGTTTGGTGAAGCTAGGTTTTGTTGCATGTTGTATACCAAGCCCTAAATGGGCTGTGGGTGATGTGAATTCAAAGCTGCAATAATTTCTCAAACATATTTAAATTGCATTCACGTTTCTCCGGCATGTTTTCCACTGTGCTGACATTATTTCATACGCCGTCCACAATACCGACTTGGTATGCAATTCAACAAAACCCGCCTTGAAATATAGCTGCATACGATCCATAATGACGTCTTTTCCTGCATCACTGAATACATTCTGTATTGAGTTTTAATATTAGAGTTACGTTTATTAATTAATTACCAAACTACTACATTGAAAAGTAGACTTTTAGTAGGCTAGTAGTCTTTGGCTAAATTCAAAGTCTAGCTCGTTCATTTTTTTCCGTGGGCAAATCTGATTCAACTCGTACTCTTCCAGTTACGAGAGCTTTCCTTGCAGACAGAGGCGTTATAATCAAGTAGCCCGCGACTACAGTATAATCTAGAACCTTATTCTTGAACAAACTCAACRCTGTCAAACAAATATGGCTGCTCTCAAATCCCCCGCTCCAGGGTCACGTCACTCGCCCCAGGTTACTACAGGCGCAAAGGAAAGGAGAAGACTTACGCCAACGGAAAAATAACGAGAACAAGATGACTGAACGAACGATAAATGTTTGATGCATGATCATTTACGCAAACTAACTCGCAACAGCCACATATCATATGGGTCCTATAAACAGAGGATCCATGGTTATATCCTACCATGCATTGTGATTATATTAAGTTATAACTATTTCCATTTATAAATCTAAAAATGATGCTTTCAAAATTGAAAATTTCAATCGTACGTAAAAAGAG